TGTATGCACTGTCTTGATTTGGGAGAAGATTTTCACTTTAAAAGATTATGTTTTCTTGTTGGACAGTGGTGGTACATGCCTTTAGTCCTAGCACTTGGGAAGCAGAGGCAGGTGGATCTCTGTGGAGTTCAAGATCAGCCTGGTCTGAAGAGCTGGTTCCAGGACAGGCTACACAGGGAAACCCTGTCTCAAAAAACAAAACAAAAAAATTCTGCTTTTTTCCAAAGTGTGCAGTCATTGACTACGTCTTCTCCTTGTCTTCCATTCTTCCCTCCTCCTTTTTCTTTTAATTGTTTTAAGACAAGTTTTTCTTATTGTATCCAAGACTGTCCTGGAACTCAGTATGTAGATAAGGCTGGCCTTAAACTCAACAGAGATCCACCTGCCTTTGCCTCCTAAGTGCTGACATTAATTTCCCATTTCTTTTGAGAAGGGAGGTCATCAGCATTTTCTTTGCCCTTCTTTCCTTCCTTCAGCATTTTCTTTGCCCTTCCTTCCTTCCTTCCTTCCTTCCTTCCTTCCTTCCTTCCTTCCTTCCTCCCTCCCTCCCTCCCTCCCTCCCTTCCTCTCTTTAATTTTTGTCTTTCCCCAGACAGGGTTTCTCTGTAGTCCTTCCTGTCATGGAACTCACTTTGTAGATGAGGCTGGCCTTGAACTCAGATATTTGACTGACTGCCTCCTGAGTGCTAGGAATATGGGCAAATGCCATGACCACCTTGCAGCAGTGCAGTTCTTAAATGAAGAGGAAATTTTTCTTTGGAAATACAGAATAGTCTCTCTGTGTGTGAATGTATGTACATAATGGAGACCGGAGGTTGACAGTAAGCATCTTCCCCAATCGCTCTGCCTTATGTATTTGAGACAGAATTTCTCATTGAGCCTTCATATTTAGCTAGACTGGCTGGCCAGGAAGTGGCTGAGATCCTCCTGTCTCTGCCTCTGCACTGGAATTACAGTGGCTTGTTACACGGGTACTTCATTTGGGTGCTGGGTACCAAATTTGTCTTCCTGCTGAGCTGCCACATCGGCACTAGTCATCTCATCAGAAGTCTCATTTCTCATGTACTTAAAATTGAAATCTCTAGTAATGGTTGGTTATCTCATATCCACAGTACTTGAGACAGGATTGTTTCACTTACCAAGTTCTCTAAATTTTGGAATATCAGCATATGCAAACTCCAAAGCATTTCAGAAGTTCAGATTTGGATCTTATTGTTATCAGTCTTGAAAAAAAAAATCATAAAATGTAGGGTATATGAAAAAGTAGGGCTGGCTGTTGATGACACATGACTTTAATCCCAGCGCTCAGAAGGCAGAGTCCAGCAGATCTCTGTGAGTTTGAGGCCAACCTGGTCTACAGAGAAAGTTCCAGGAAGCCAAGGCTATATAGAGAAACCCTGTCTTGACCCCCCCCCCCCAAAAAAAAAAACAACAGAAAGAAAAAGTAGGTACCATATGTTGAAATAAAAGTAAAAGAATGACATTATTATTAATATTATTATTGTTATTATTATTTTTGTCCAGACACTTAGACCTAGCTGTGGGCTAGATGACTGAGGGGTTGAAGTCTGGCCAGCCTGGAGACTTGAGTTCAGTCTTTAGGAGTGAGATGAAGGTGGATGAAGAGAACTCCAGTGTTGTCCTCTGATGTACACACACACACCATGGCATGTGTGTCCCCACACATATTTGTGTATGCACACATTAAAAGAAATATCTGGAGGTGGAGAATATGCCTTAGTGTAAGGCCCTAGATATGATCTCCAGTATAGAAAAGAAATTCATTTTGAAGATTTGTTAAAGAAATTACCAGTTGAATTCATTGTAATACTAGTATTATTAACATTATATATCAGTGAGTTACCAAGTAATGTCAGGGTATAAAGTCAATCAATAATTCAAAGCAGTTTTCTTTAGAAACAGATAATGGGACTTGTGGTGTTGTTGTATGCCTTTAATCCCAGTACACAGGATGCAGAGGCAAGTGAATCTCTGAGTTCAAGGCCTGCTTGGTCTACAGAGCAAGTTCCAGGGCAGCCAGGTTATGTAGAGAAACCTCTTCTCAAAAAAAAAAAAAAAAAAAGAAAGAAAGAAACAAATAATATTAGAGAAAGACAGGCAGCACACTGATCTAGAGATTCCGGGAGGCTTTCCAGAGTGTACAGAAACAAAATAAAGATTTAAAAAAGATTCCCAGAAAATATAAAGCAGGCTGGACTTAGTGGCACAGGTTTGTAACCCCAGCTACTCTGGAGACCGAGACAGGGTTATTCCAAGCTCATGGCTTATATAGGCTAGGGAATGAAATCAAAGCTAACCTGGGCAAACAAATGACACCCCTTCTGAAATAAAATTAAACAAAATAAAGGATATAGATTAGTAGAAGCCTAGCATATGAGGCCCTGGGTTCAATTCTTCATGAACCCCTGCCTCTAATACATACATACATACATACATACATACATACATACATACATACATACCTACATATATACATACATACATACATATATACATACATACATACCTACATACATATATACATACATACCCAATACATGCAATCATTTATACATAACATACACTTACTTGTAAAGCTACTTAAGATTATTTTGTTTTTCATAATTATGCATATCTAAGTACCATGTATATTGTAAATGGGTAAATAAATCTTTTTGAGGTTAAAAGTTTGTTTATTGTGCTAGCCTAGGCTGGCTACACTAAAACTCCTAAATGTTGGAGTTTCAAGCGTGAAGTAACTATGCCTGGCTAAATTTTATTTTTCAAATACAATAACTATCTGTAGATAAGGTTTATTCTCAAAAGTCTTTTTGAGATTCTCAGTAATTTGAATGCAGAAGTGTCTTCTGACCAAAGTTAAGTTTAAGAATGGCTTTAGGTTGTCATTTGGTGTAATAGCCACTAGCCACCTGTAGGTATAGAGTACTTGAGATCTGGCTGGAAAGTTGAATTTTAAAAGTTCTTTATATTTATTACAATTACATGCTGACATGACAATATTAGGTTAAACAAAAGGTATTAATTTCAGATTGTAGCTTAGTGGATATGCCCTCCCCAAAAGGTATTAATACCAATTTTGTGCTTTTTAAAATGTGGGTATGAGAAAATTTCAAATTATGGCCTTAATTTAATTGGATAACTTTGGCTTAGAAAGTAATTTTAATTGTCTTTTTGTACTTACAGAGCTATATTGATTGAAGGTCAAGGGAGACAGATGTTAATGGTGAACGATAATAGACCCTCTTCTTCATTGCAGTGGTCTGCTCTGTCCCCACTAGAGCTCTGGGACATTAGAGAATGTGGTCGGTCAGTGCAAGGTTGAGTAGTGACCTTGGAAATACTAGTTTATGGCGCTGTGTTTAGGAGAAAACCACTAACACCTACTGAAGTATTTCTCATTTTTCCATTGCTCTCAAACTCTATTGCTTGTAAAGTTTATTTCTGACTTGAGAACATTGTTATGAACTAGATCCATTGCCAGCGTTCTCTTATGCAAAGCTGGGAGGTATGCCTCTTGTCAGACTTAATTACCAAGTTTGGTATTTTGTAACAGCTGTTAAGAGTCTGGAGCAGTGTACTACAAACACCAGCTGATTAGAGATGGAGATGGAGCCGGCATATTTACCCACAGTAAATGGCAGCACAAACCACATTTATTGATGGTGTTTTGATAAGAATTCAATCACTTTGAAATGTATTTGAGACATTACTTCACAGAGGCTTGGCTAGGAGTTCAACTGATAGAAAAATGAGACCTGTCCAGTTACTTACTAGTTTGTTTCTGTTTTTAAACTGAGTTGCGGATTTTCTACCATAAATTTCATTCTTGTCTGGAAAGTAGTAAGAAGGAATTTTATTTGCAGATGTTGCTTTTAGGTTGCAAGGCCCTGTTAAATTGATATTTATATCTTTAGAAATATGCAGTTTTAATTTCTTAAATTATAAATAATTTAAGAATTATTTATAAATAATTATAATAAAACTGAATAAAACATCATTGAAATTTTCAAAATTACAGAAATGGAGAGGTATGAAATTTCTGCTATGGGCTAGAGATGGCTCAGCGGTTAAGAACACTGCCTGCTCTTTCAGAGGTCCTGAGTTCAATTCCAAGCAACTACATGGTGGCTCACAACAATCTGTAAATTTCTGCTATCAAAGATTGTTTTAGAAAAATCACCTGTTGACTTAGGTCAACAAAGTATAGATACTCCTTATAAAGTATAGATACTTTATAAATTGAGTAAAATATTCTGGAACTTCTCATTGGACGCTAGGCTTTTAGATTTTTATTTATGTTTAGCATTGAGTTGCAGACAAACTAAGCTCCTAAAGTAAAAAGCACTGCTCTCTTTAGCAAGCTGGTAGATTACAGAGTAATGTGATTGTTTTACATTTACAATTGGGTTTTGATGGCACTCTGAATGTGAAGTTGCAGGAGGCAGAAGCCCTGTTCAGCACAAAACTTGGTTCTGAAGCACAGCACTGGGCACATGAGAAACATTCGACTGACACAGCCTGACTGTACTTAAAACGTTGGGTTTTCTATTTGGCAACTTAAAATTATGGATATTTAAAGTACTAGTAAATTATTTTGGGGTTATAATTTGTTGATTTTGGGGGGAGAAGAGAAGCTTGAGGTCAGAAGTAGAAGCAAGAAAATGCACTTTAAAAGACTAATTGGAATGTGGTAGAACACTGTAATCTCAGCGCTTAGGGAGCACAGGCAGGAGGATTGGGCGTTCAAGATTACTGCCATGTCTAGAGTTCCAGGCCAGCCTAAGCTACATGAGACTCCACCTCTAGAACAAACCAGACCAGAACAGAATCAGGATTAATTTGTACTAATTTGAAATAATGGTTTTGAAAATGCACCTTATGCTATTTAAGAATTTAGGGAACACAATATATAACTGTTAGGCAAGTATTTTTGTGGTTGTTATTGTTTATAACTTAAATATTTTAAAATATGTAATTTTATTGCCCTATGGTTGTTAAATACTTGAAACTATAACTGTAGTACTGTACCGTTTTTAGAGTATATCTTCATAATGTTACATAAGGAATTCGCTTACCCAGGATAGTTTATTAATAGCACCTAAGACAACAGCTAAATTACAACGCTATAAAGACATGGCTCTTGGTTTGATGTTTAAAACCTGAGGATTTGCTTTCTGAGAGTTGTTATTGTGTGTGAGTCTTATAGGGCTCTGTGAAGACCATACTCAAGAATGGGCGGTGTCCTCTATACTTACTACTAAGTTTTTAAAGCTGAACTAGACGCTGGGTGAATCCTTTGCCTCACTGGAGCTGCAGATAAGAGTAAGCAGGGTCACCTAAAGATAGAATTACTTAGAGGTTTGGCTGCCTCTCCGGGTCCATTAGCTTAGAGCAGATTTCCATAAATGGAAAGAGCAGCTGGAGAGACCAGAGTACCTTGCCTTGAGAGTGTGGACGGTGTGTAACAGGTGCTAAAACAGGCTTGAAGTTTTAAAACAAATGCTCCCCAAATGACTTTGTTTTAGAAGGCTGCGGTTTTAGCATTTGGCGAATTTGAAGGTTCTAACTGATTCTTTTACAATTAAAGTTTCTTGAGACAGGCTTTAGAAGATCATGTCTGTACTTGTGAATTTGGCGTGGCCTTTTGAATCTGTGTGAACATTCACAAAGCTCCTTAAGGAGAACATCTTCAGAAAAACAGTCAAATTAAAATCTGTTATTTATGTTTCAGAACCTCTAATCACATAAATTGTTCAGTATACAAATAAGTCAGTGTGAAATAAATGTATGACTAAGATAATGAGTTCTTTGGCAATTCTTTTATAAGATCATGGGATTGTCTTTAATTTGCTACATAAAAGAAATGCATGTATTCTTTGAAAAATCTAGGGCTACATACACTGCTTAGAGGTGGAGCACTTGCCTAGCAATGTGGGAGGTGCTGGGCTTGATCCTCAACATCTCAAAACTAAACAAAACCTGTTTTGAATGCAAAGCTTATGATTTTACAGGAATGAGAAGTCATCATACTGAACTCCCATTTCATGCCAGACACTGTATGTGTTTTCCACAACTATTTGTAGAAATCGTCCTGCTCTATAAAATGGAAACTGAGGCATCAGAGACTTAAGTGGATTGTCTTAGTGGCTGAGTCTAAGAACCTAAGCTGTTAGACCTGAAAGTGCAAACCTCTGCTTGAATACTTCACTGTTTGACAAACCATTTGATAGAAAAGCATGAAAGATGTGTAAGAGAGATAGATAGGAAGAGCAGTTGAATCAGGAATGGCTTTCAGGTAAGATCATCCATCTGTTCATCCATCCACGTATGTACATTTCTTTTAGAAAAACCTAGTGAAGTCCCCTGAAATTCTGAAAAGAACAAGGTTATTGTGAAACAAGTTATGAAATGTTGTGACAGTAAAATTAATGCCTTGCCTGGAGAGTGTCCACTCACAGGACACAATATAAAAATTGAAGCAATTCATTAGGCTAGCTTAGAAAAAATGTTTCTAGCTGATTTCTGTTGGCTATTATATTGCCCCCAGTTTTGTGACAATACATCAGATTACATAATTGACCTATGGGGTCGTTTTCTTCCTGTTTCCAAACCCTTTTGGGTGATTATCTCAATCCAATTTGGACTAAAAATGGATGCAAATTTTATATTTCAAGGTTTGTTCTTTGTTTTCTTTTGGTTAAGATCCAGGAACTTCTCACTAATTTTTAATTAGCGTCGTTGGGTTTTTGGCTTTGAGATAGAGTCTGCCTATATGTAGCCCAGGATATCCTCAAATCCATTCCCTGCCCAGACCTTCGGAACCTGTCCTGGCACTCTCTCTGTAGACCAGGCTGGCCTCGAACTCACAGAGATCCCCCTGCCTCTGCTTCCTGAGTGCTGGGATTAAAGATGTGTGCTACCAACGCCCATCTTCATTGGTTGTTTTTAAAATAAACATTCACTTTACAGTGTGTAGACATTAGCTTTATTATTTATTACTTTAGTAAGTAGTTAATGAATGGGTAGTCATTGGTTTATATAGAATTGTTTATAATTCAGTAATAAGTTGTTAGTGTTTTCATTTTTAATAAAGAACTTTCTTTTTTTCCACAGTGGAAGCATCAGTTCATAGCAGTAATGCACACTGTACGGATAAGACAATTGAAGCTGCTGAAGCCCTGCTTCATATGGAATCTCCTACCTGCTTGAGGGAGTCAAGAAGTCCTGGTATGTGATCTGTACATTTTTAAATTAAATGTCACATTGTTTCCTATTAGAATGAAGACTTTACTGCAAAGGAGGTATTCCTGGAGTTCTTAAAGATCTATACATAAACACCTGATATCAGTAACTGATGTTAAAGGTTCTAAAATCTTAAATACTGTACTTAATGTCCTAATAAATAATGCAGAAATGCCCACAATTTTCTATTAGACAGTTGTGTATGTTATCATGTTTATTTGCTTGGTTCTGGATAAATTGTAAGGTAGTAGTTGTAATCTTTAAGAGTTGCACAAGTTGGACCATTTGCTTCCTATAGCTCTTTCAGTCTTTTACCCATTCATTGATCAACAGCCAGTAACAACATGGACCTGGCAATGGTAGAGAGGGAAAGGAATTTGCTTCATATTCCTTTTAGATTGTGAAATAAGGTTCCTTTTTTCCTTTTAGGTTGATTTTAATAGTGGTGTTATACTAATTTGATTCTGTTCTAATTTTATTAATTCGTTGTGCAGGAATTTACAGTTAGTTGCTAACAGCAGCTATCTTTAAAAGGGTATTTTATGTGTATGGGTGTTTGCCTGCATTCATGTCTGCACCGTGTGCATGCCTGATGCCCATGGGTGCCAGAGCGGGTTACAGAGGGTTGTGAGCGGCCATTGGATGCTGGGAATTATATTCCAGTCCTGAAAGGGCAGCCAGTGCTCTTAAACATTTTTTCATTCCTGAAGCCAGCCAAAATCATTAAAAATTGGATTAAGAAATTCACTGCATTCTTCATGGATATGAGAAGTAAACAGTGGCTTTGTTGGTAGCATATTAATGCATGTAAGCATACAGTATCTGGATCTCCAAATTTGAAATAGAAATGTGGTATCCTGGAAGTTGAAGCAACATTATTGTATGTAATAGAATACCAGATAGCAATCTGTATGTACTATTTTAGTGACTATCTACCTACCTGTCTGGTCTTTTGAGACAGGGTTTCTCTGTGAAATAGTCCTGGCTGTCCTGGAACTCACTCTGTAGACTGGGCTGGCCTAGAATTCAGAGAGACACACCTGCCTCTGCCTCCTGAGTGCTGGGATTAAAGGTGTGTACCACCACTGCCTAGCATTTATAATTTTTAAAATTTTCTATCTTGTCCTTGTATTTCCCAGTTAATGAATAGTAATAGATATGTGCAATGAAAGTAATTATTAAAGGACCATTTTGTTAGATTTTCTCTATTAAAATAATATAAAATTAAAAGTTGAAATGGAATTGGAGAGATGACCCAGGGGTTAAGAGCACTGTGTACTCTTGCAGAAGACCTGGGTTTGGTTTTCACACTCACAGGGTAACTCCAAATCTAGAGGATATGATGCCCTCTTCTGGCTTTTGGAGGCAATAGACACTCAAGTGCACAAACATGCCAGCAAAACATACATACACATAAAATAAAAATAAATCTTTAAAAAGTGCCTAAAGGTATGAAAAAGAGGTTGACTTCATTACTGCCAAAATGATTGTCTTTCACTTGTGTATTTTAGATAGTTTTGGATATTCAGTAAGTGGATTTCTTCGGGCAGAAGTTCTCACCTTCCTTTGAATAATTCTTCAGTAAACCTTGCCTCTTCGAAATATTGAACTGTCCACATAGGAAAGTGTAATAGGGGTGGGAAATTTTAATTTTTCAACTTTTTTTTATAGTGGAAGTGTTTGTCCCTCCTTGTATATCAACTCCAGAGTTTATCCATGCTGCGATGAGGCCAGATGTCATTACAGAGACTGTAGTGGAGGTGTCAACGGAAGAGTCTGAGCCAATGGATGCCTCGCCTATTCCCACTTCACCAGATAGCCACGAACCAACGAAAAAGAAAAAAGGTTGAGTATACTTATCAGATATGAGAAATCTTTTTTTGTTTTGTTTTGTTTTCAAGACAGGGTTTCACTGTTTAGCCCTGGCTATCATGGAACTCACTCTGTAGACCAGGCTGGTCTTGAATTCACAGAGATCTGCCTGTCTCTGCGTTCTGAGTATTGGGGCTGAAGTTGTGTGTGCCACCACTCCTTGCAGATTAATGTTATCTTAACTAGACTCAGAAACAGAACAAATTGAGTTGCTAAGATTGTACTTTAATATTAATATTGTGGGCTGGAGAGATGGCTCAGCGGTTAAGAGCACTGACTGTCCTTCCAGAGGTCCTGAGTTCAATTCCCAGCAACCACATGGTGGCTCACAACTACCTTGAATTAGATCTGGTGCCTTCTGCTGGCATGCAGGCAGAAGATTGTATCCATAATAAATAATAAATAAATAAAATCTTAAAAAAATATTAATGTTGTTCAAAGACATTTGTAGCCAGTCCTGGTGATGCTGATCTATAATCACCACTAATTGGAGACTGAAGCAGGGGATCAGCTGTCCTAAGATACCCCAATTGCTGCTGATACATACATACACACACACACACACACACACACACACACACACACACACACGTGTATATAATTCCCCCAATTGCTGTGTATGTATACATACATATACACATCACAGCGATACATACATATGTGCAAAGTCCTTCAGATTATCTTTCTTCCAGATTGTAAACTCTTTGGAGGAACTTTCTTGTTATATTCAAACTTGTTTTTTAGTGTTTTTTTTTTTTTTTTTTTCCTCCCGTTTTTGAGATAGGGTTTCTCTGTGTAACAGCCCTGGTTTTACTCCTGAGTGCTGGGATTAAAGGCATGTGCCACTACCACCTGGCGCTTTCTAGATATTTGAATTATTTTCCCAGCACTCACATGACAGTCCATAGCTGTCTACAAATCTGTTACCAGGGTATCTGATGTACAACTGCCTTTAACTCCAGTTTCATGGGTTTTGATGACCTCTTCTGGGTAGCAGACATGCAAAGTGGTACACAGACATACATTCAGACAAAACATCTGTATACATTAAACAAGCAAACACAAACCTCTAAGATTCTCAGTATAAACCTAGTAGTGGGTAAAGCATAGGGGGCCAGCACACCTGCCACAACACAAGGACATGGGAATACAATGCATTCCTCCTTTACTATTCAAATCAAGGGTTAAATTTGATTTGGGTGGTTTTCTTTAATTTTTTTCTTTCTTTTTCCTTTTCTTTTGGAGACAGGGTTTCTCTATGTAACAGCCCTAGCTGTCCTGGAACTAGCTCTGTAGACCATGCTGGCCTTGAACTCACAGATACCCAGCATTCTCTGCCTCTCAAGTGCTGGAATTAAATATCCCCACGACCAGGGCAGCTTGTAGAAGGAATGGTTTATTTGGCTTACAACTTCAGAGGGAAAAGAGTCTGTCATGGTGGGAAATGTGTAATTGTAATTTCTTTATTCTTTGTTTGCATTTTATGGTGAAATAACACAGTGCCTTCCACTACAGCATATTCTATTGTTCACTACCCACTAAAAAACTTTGTCATAGGGTTGGAGAGATGGCTCAGAGGTTAAGAGCACTGACTGCTCTTCCAGAGGTCCTAAATTCAATTCCCAGCAACCACATGTGGCTCACAACCATCTGTAGAGAGATCTGGTGCCCTCTTCTGGTGTGCAGATATACATGGAAGCAGAATATTGTATACATAATAAATAAATAAAATCTTAAAAAAAATGAATGAAGTCTAATCTTCATCAAGACAACTGAGTGGGCGTGGTGTCCATGCCTGTGATCCTAGCACATAGGAGGCTAAGATAGGACTGCTGGAAGTTGAGTTGCCAGGCCAGCCTGAGGTCTATTTTTAAACAATGAAAACCACCACCAGGTGGTGGTGGCCAGCCTGATCTATAGTGTGAGTTCCAGGACAACCAGAGCTACAGAGAGAGACCCGTCTCCAAAACAAAACAAAAAACCAAGTAGGGCAGTGGTGCCGCATGCCTTTAATGAGAGGCAGAGGCAGGTGGGTCTCTGGGTTTGAGGCCAACCTGGTCTACATAGTGAGTTGTAGGACAGCCAGGGCTACACAGGGAAACCGTGTGTTGAAAAACCAAAACAGGGAAAAAAAAAAAAAAAAAAAAAGAAAGAAAAGAAAAAGACAAGGATTGGTGTGATGCCTCAGCATGTAAAGGGGCTTACCAGCAAGCCTCATAACCTGAGTTCTGTCCGTGGGGTCCTCAGGGTAGAGGGAAAAGATTGACTCCCACAAATTGTTCTGATGTCCACGTGCATATATAACACTTTGTTGGAGGCACACACACAAATAAATGCAATTAAAAACAACAAAAACACCATCTGAATGGGCCATGGTGGGTAGGGGAATTAAACACTTGCACACCTTTGGTAGTAATGTAAATTACAGACTCCTCAAAGTTGTAAATAGAATTTATGATATGATCCACTATACCAGTCATATATACATGGAGGAATGTTAAGTCAGCATATAATATATAATGAATGTTAGTTCTGTCATTTTTTTTAACTTAACCCATTTATACTAAGCTATGTGCTGCCCGGAATCTCGTTTACCTTATCCTTATACTGTCTGTCCTGTCCTGCTTTCCTGCATACTCTGTGTCTGGCTGTCTCCCCTTTTCTTTCTGCTCAGCAGCCATGCCTCCCCTTCCTCTACCTAGCTATTGGCCATTCAGCATTTTATTAGAACCATCAGGTGCCTTAGGCAGGCAAGGTGAAACAGCAACACATCTTTACATAGTTAAGCAAATGCACATGAACAAATGCAACACATATTTACATAGTTAAACAAATCGTCTATTCAACAACAGTGAAGAGACACTGTGGCCATGGCAGCTCTTTCTTTTCTTTTTTTTTCCAAGAGAGGGTTTCTCTGGGTAGCCTTAGCTGTCCTGGAACTAGTTCTTGTAGACCAGGCTGGCCTTGAACTCACCTGCCTCTGCTTCCTGGGTGCTGGGATTAAAGCTGTGTGCCACCACTGCCTGGCTAACGGCAACAAAGAAAAACATTGAATTGATGTGGCTGCTTACAGTTCTGTGGTTCAGTCCATTATCATGGCAGGGTTCATGGCAACATGCAGACAGACATGGTGCTGTCTTCATCTTGATTAGAAAGCAACAGGAAGTAGTCTCAGACAATGGGTGGTATCTTGAACATAGGAAATCTCAAAGCCTGCCCCCAAGGTGACACCCTTCCTCCAACAAGGCCACACCTCCTGATAATGACACTCCATACATATGGAGGGCCAATTAAACATTCAAGCTACCACAGTGTATGTGTGTGTGCACATTTCAATTTAGCTCTGAAAAAGGAGTCAGGTTTGCAGGAAAATGGGTGGAACCAAGCAAAACAACTAGACTTAGGAAAACAAACACCATGTTTTCTCTTAGGGAATCAACATTGAAGAAAACAAAATGCAGTAGACAGTGTAAGGTGACATACTTGTAATCTCAATACTCAGGACATGCATAGTCATTTGTAGGAGTGTGTTTTATTTTCAGCATTTTTGGTTGACAAGTTAACACTTTAGCTTAAAATTGGCTGGTCAACTTCCTGGCTCACAATGGAAGTGATGTTTCACGTTTTGTTCATTTGAGCTCACAGAGCTTCACATGATCAGATCCTCTGCTGTACATAGGTGAATCGAGGGAGAGTATGAGCAAATTATACTTTCTATGAATGTATAAAGTTCTTCAAGAATTAATAAAAATACCATACTAAAAAACTTGTCTAACAGCTGAGTGTAGTGGTACACCTTTTTGGTCCCTGGACTTGGATGCAAAGGCAGTAGTATCTGAGCTAGAGGCCAGCCTGGTCTACATTGTGAGCTCTAGGACAGCAGTCAGAAAATGTAGCAGATTGAGGCTTATCTGACTATATAGTGGAAGTTAGAGAAATTACTGACTTTGTAAAGTCAAGCTTCTACCAACCGTTTTATTTAAAATTTCAGAAGTGTTTTAGAGAGTCTGGTATTTATATCTGTTTTCAGTTAATGATTTCGTTGTCTTATTTTTTTCAGTTGGCCGAAAACCAAAGACCCAGCAGTCACCAGTTTCCAATGGGTCTCCTGAGTTAGGAATCAAGAAGAAAGCCAGAGAAGGAAAAGGTAATTTGTGGAGGGTTGTTTTGCAAGTAAGATACTTTTGTGTGTGTGACATTTTTGCAATTGTAAGAAGGGTTATTTCTAGTAGACAGGCATATGGGAGTACCATTTCAGTATTTCTTAATCAAGGGTGGGCCAACATTATGGGAAACTTTGATCAAAATACCAGTGTCTCCCTGGGCGGTAATGGCAGACGCCTTTAATTCCAGCCTGAGGGAAGCAGAGACAGGTGAATCTCTGAGTTCGAGGCAAAGCCTAGTCTACAGAGTGAGTTCCAGGACTGGCTTCAAAGAAAAACCCTGTCTCAGGAAAAAACAAAACAAAATAAAAACAAAACCTATGTTTTGGGGCTGGAGAGATGGCTCAGAGGTTAAGAGCACCGACTGCTCTTCCAGAGGTCCTGAGTTCAATTCCCAGCAACCACATGGTGGCTCACAACCATCTGTAGAGCGATCTGGTGCCTTCTTCTGGTGTGCAGATATACATGGAAGCAGAATGTTGTATACATAATAAATAAATAAAATCTTTAAAAAAAAAAAAACTATGTCTTGAAGAGATGGGATAGTCTATAGTAGGACAGTGCAAACCATATTGTTTTTGGGGACCACTGTTTAGGGGACATTTGTTTAATAGCACTTATCCTCATGTAGAGCCACTTTAAAGAAGAGGCTAGTGACTTCTGATGAGTTTTAAGGGACTTGGGGGAGAATATCAAACATATCCAGATTATATATCCAGATTATTATATTCAGAGTTTAAATGCCTATAAGTTAAGAAAGTTGATTCTGTGTAATCCAGGTGAGCAATGTATTACACTAAATATTATGCTGTTGCCTTTACTGAACCTGAAGCCTTGTATACAGGACACATGACAGTATAGAATCTAGGGCCTCTATCGGCTTCCTTGTAGAAAAGCATAGATTTGTAAGAACAGGCATGTAGTCTAGGCATGGTGCAGGTCTTTAATCCTAGCATTTGGGAGGCAGTGGCCTTGAATTTAAGAGTAGCTTGGTCTACATACAAGTTTGAGGTACAGCAGGGCTGCATAATGAGACCTTGTCTCAAAAAGAAGCAGCAAAGAAGGATATTTTACTTGCAAGTAATCATATTAATGGATAATAAATTAATGCCTACCATTGTTTTTGCTTTGTTTTAAAAGGAAACACAACCTATCTGTGGGAGTTTCTCTTAGATCTACTTCAAGATAAAAATACGTGTCCCAGGTATATTAAATGGACTCAGAGAGAAAAGGGCATATTCAAACTTGTGGACTCAAAGGCTGTCTCAAAGCTTTGGGGAAAGCATAAGAACAAACCAGATATGAACTATGAAACTATGGGGCGAGCTTTGAGGTAAGAACGAACATGGACTAGTTTTTAAATAGAACTTACATGTCTCTTTAGACTGTCTGCTAGTTGTTAAAGTTGGGTGAACAATCTATAAGAATTTCTTAGATTTGGAAATAGACAGGGAAAGAGAAGTTTGGTTTACGTGCATAAAATTTCAATATTAGAAGATCCATATTTATTGCATTTAGGACAGTTCTGTAATAGAAATTGTTACATTGTAAGCCTTTTAAAACATTAAACCCAGACTGGATGTACTGGTATATGCTTTGCAGTACTACTGCTTGGCAACCGAAGACAGGAAAATAAGAGTTCAAAGTCATCTGCCTTTACAGAGGAAGTTTGAAGCCATCCTGGGCTAGAGTGAGATCCTATAAGAAACCCTAAATGAAATGCATTTTCCAACATTAATTTGCTTTTAGTTACTGCAAATGTTGTAAATGACTGTCTTGATAATGAAAAATTTTTGTTGTGTTTGGTCAGTATGAAAAATCCATTAACTCTCCAATGTATACATTATAGTACTTATTTGAGAAAGGTCTTGGTATGTAGCCCGGGCTGGCCTGGAGCTTATATAATCAAGCTGGCTTTGAACTTGCATCAATTTTCCTACCTTAGTTTCCCAATACTGGGATTTCAGGCATAAGCCACTCCTACATTGTGTTTTATGTAACACTGTTCACATATTCCACAGATTGCATCTCTGCTAAACATGGGTGAGGTGGCTTTCCAAATAAAGACAGATTATTTGTTGTGTAACAGAGTTCTTTGTGGTGTCAATAAAGTGTCCTGGGTTTAGGCTAAGCTTTTCTAAAGAGAGAACAAGGTGGGTGCTGGAGAGATGGCTCAGCAGTTAAGAGCACTGAGTGTTCTTCCAGAGGTCCTGAGTTCAATTCCTGGCAACCACATGGTGGCTCACAACCACCTTGAATAAGATCTGGTGCTCTCTGCTGGCATTCAGGCAGAAGACTGTATACATAATAGATACAATCTTTTTTTTTTTTTTTTTTTCAAAAAAAAAGAGAGAACAAGATGTACATGGCAGACATACTGTGATCTTATTACTTGGGAGGTGGGGATAAAAAGGATCAGTCTAGTATTGGAAACTAGCCTGGTCTATATAGAGGTGGTGGGGTGCTGGAGATAAAGCTGGGTGAAAAGCTGGGTAATAGAGCCTTTCCTCTTAGTAGTGAGTCTCTAGGTTCAGTCCTCAGTGCCGCAACTTCTTTGTACACGTCAGGGTTACAGAGCTGCATTAGCTCCTTCTCATTGGTGTGACACAGTACTCTAGGAAGGGTGGAGAATTCATAGCGGTAGGCATCACATCACATCCGCAGCCAGGCCACAGATGAATGCTGCTACTTACTGCGTCCTGTGATGGTGCCGCCCCACAGTGATGTTGGGTCTTCCCACTTTAGCTAATCTAATCTAGATAAACCCAGCAAGTTAGCTCCTACACGCTTCTAGATCTTGTCAAATTGACAGTCAGCATTAACCACCACTGGCCCGTGGCACGACACACCAACCTCACTTCCTCACCAAATTTATAATCTTCCGAGTTGTCCAAGCAGAAGGGCCACTCATCTACAGGAATAAGTAAATGTCTGTCAGTGTTTGCTTTGTGTTTTTTTAATCTGGAAGTCGCTAGAAAATTGACTAAGTCATTTTTCCCTTCACAGATACTACTACCAAAGGGGGATTCTTGCAAAGGTTGAAGGACAGAGGCTTGTATATCAGTTCAAGGATATGCCCAAAAACATAGTGGTCATTGATGATGACAAAAGTGAAACCTGCAGTGAAGACTTGGCAGCAGCCGCTGATGAAAAGTCATTAGAACGAGTGTCATTGTCTGCAGAAAGCCTCCTCAAAGCAGCGACTTCTGTTCGTGGTGGAAAAAACTCATCTGTAAACTGCTCCAGAGCAGAGAAGGGTGTGGCTAGAGTTGTGAATATCACTTCCCCTGCTCATGATGCTTCATCCAGGTCTCCTACCACCACAGCATCTGTGCCAGCAGCAGCAGCTCCAAGGTGAGGGAGGTGGTTAACTGTCACACAGTGTTTTGTTTTTAAATGCTCCTTGGAACAAATGAACTGTCCTTGTTCAGTCAATATTAGCCAACATTGTATGATGACTTTCAAAAATTCATTTTGGGGCTGGAATGATGGCTCAGCAGTTAAGAGCATTGGCTGCTCTTCCAGAGGACCAGGGTTCAGTTCCCAGAACCCACATGGCAGCTCAAGACTGTAACTCCACTTCCAGAGGATCCAACACCCTCACACAGATACAGATCTAGGCAAAATACCAGTGCACATAAAAATTGAAAATTTTTTTAAAGTGCTAGAGTTTTTTTGAAATATACTTTTATCTATACATAGTAGAACACATCTGTAGTCCTAAGTACTGTGGAGGCTGAGACAGGAGAATTGCAAGTTCAAGGCCTGCCTGTGCTACAGAGTGAGTTCTAAGCTAGCAGTGAGTTAACAAGACCCTGCTTCAAAAAGTTGGGGATGCAGCTCAGTGGTAGGGCACTTGATAAGCATGCAAGAGACACCAGGTCCAAACCCCAGTAGGGAGCAGGAGATTTTTCTTCTCAGCTTCACTACAACTGTCAAAGTTGGTGGCACTGGTTTTATACATTTGTATTTGTATTTACTTTTTAACATGAAACTCATTTTCTTATTTAGTATTGAATATAACCAACTTCTTTGTTTTTTATCTACCAGGACAGTTCGTGTGGCAATGCAAGTTCCTGTGGTAATGACATCACTGGGTCAGAAGATTTCAACTGTGGCAGTTCAGTCAGTCAATGCAGGTGCACCATTAATAACCAGCACCAGTCCAACTACAGCCACCTCTCCAAAAGTCGTCATTCAGACGATCCCGACTGTGGTGCCAGCCTCTGCTGAAAATGGAGACAAAATCACCATGCAGCCTGCCAAAATTATCACCATCCCTGCTACACAGCTTGCACAGTGTCAGCTGCAGACAAAGTCCAATCTGACTGGATCAGGAAGCATTAACATTGTTGGAACCCCCTTGGCTGTGAGAGCACTTACCCCCGTTTCAATAGCCCACGGTACTCCTGTAATGAGACTATCTGTGCCTGCTCAACAGGCTTCTGGCCAGACTCCTCCTCGAGTTATCAGTGCGGTTATTAAAGGGCCAGAGGTTAAATCAGAAGCAGTGGCAAAAAAGCAGGAACATGATGTGAAAACTTTGCAGCTGGTAGAAGAAAAGGGAGCAGACGGGAATAAGACAGTAACCCATGTAGTGGTTGTCAGTGCACCTTCTGCTATTGCCCTTCCTGTGACTATGAAAACCGAAGGACTAGTGACATGTGAGAAATAAACAGGCTCTGCCATGGACTTCAGACTGTTAGTGTTGTGCTGACAAACATCTGCAAGGGAAGTCATCAAGAAAAGCCAGAGGACTTTAAAACAGCTGTGCATATAAGAAAGCAATCAGACTTACTGGAAATAATTACCTATCCCATGTTTCAGTGGGAAGTGAACTATACATTGAGATGCTGACAGAAAACTGCCTCTTAGACTAGGAACGACTGAACCCTCAAGAAAAAAGACTGAAAGGGACCAAGCAGCCCACTACAATATCAAGTTACACTAAGAGTTGGAACACTAACACCTGTAAGAGGTTACATAGTTTTCAGTGGGGCGGGATTGGGATGGGTGATCTCATTGTTACATATAGCAATTTTTGATGCATTTTATATGCATACCAGCAATTATTACTGTGTTTGCACAGTACTCACTTAACTGGTGCTATGTGAAGACTCTGCTAATATAGGTATTCTAGAATGTGAACTGAGTGGATCCAAAAGCTCCAGAAGAGGATAGCAAAAAGATCTAGTGTGTTTTCTTGTTTTATTTTTGTTTTGAATATATATATCATATAGCTTAAGCTGTTTTAAAACAAAGGCCTTAGACTAATTTTCGGTTTTCTTTCTTGAAATAAGCTAATGGCTTGTTTGTGTAAAGCTTTTTTATTAAAGGAAAAAATTTTAAAAATCTTGTACCTAGCACAGTATTGTTATAGAATTTACATGTAACATTTTATATGGTAGTTTAAGTCTGTTGGTTTCTTAATTGTGAAGAAATTAACTGTTGGCTCTGGCCCTTTACTGTAACATACCTGCGTCGCTCAAGTCAGCCCTGGCGTCTTGCAGACACATGAGTATCAGTTCTCCTGTCATTTTGAAATTCAGACTCAGCATGAACTCGTCAGGTAGCTCTAATACCTGGTGTTTGTTTTCTTTCTCATTCTTTTTTCTTCTTTCTCCTTCTTTCCTCCTTTTTTCTCTTTTTCTTTTTTAGTTGACATTTAAGAGGGAAAGTACCAGTGTTCAGATTTGAACTATAATAGTTTGTATATTCAACATTTGAAGTATATTCTATTTTGTTGTACTCTTGTTTCAAAGTGTATTCAAGTAGGTTTTCTGAAATATAGAAGTGAAATTTATCTTGTGGTTTGGTCTCTGGTGATATTTTACAACACTCTAAAGCCAGTATAGGGTGTCGTTTTAGGTAACAAATAGAAGTCTGGTGTTTTCTTAATTACTACATGAAGAAATGCTACTCTGGTTTTGTCCCATTATACTAGTATTTGGTAACTACCTGCACACACCCCCATTTCCTTTATAACTATAATTGCCTACTTAACAAATGTAGTGTTTTAGTTGGCCATACTTAATGGAAGCACTTTCAGCACTAGTGGTAGGCTGCTTGCCTGGCATTTGCAAGTTCCTGGGTTTCTCATGGCACCTCACATACACAGAGTCATTTTCAGTCATACCATTTGTTTCTCCATCAGACCTTTTTATGGGTAGAAAGTAAGTCCAGCCTTTACAGTTGAAGGCTGAGGCACCAGAGAATCACACAAACTCCTTACTGTCATACATAACTAGGTCTATCTTTTTAGAAATTTAGATGAACTGTTTAATATTTTTTGGCCTTTGTATATCTAACACGATGCTACTTATATCAGCAAAGATTTTTTATAAAGTTCCCTTTCTAACCTTTTTTTTTTAAAAAAAAAAAACTAAATTGATAAAAAAAAATATGTGTGTGGGTGTTTTGTCTGCATGTATGGCTTTATACACTTAACACTGTACTGGTGCCCCAGGAGGCCAGAAGTGTGTGTCCAATTCACTTGCAACTGGAGCTCTAGGTGGTTGTGAGCTGACCTTTGGGTTTTGAATCTGGTCCTCTGGAAGAGCAGCCAGCACTCTTACCTGCTAAGCCATCTCTCCTGGCTACATCTCTTTTCTACCCCACAAACTTATCTAATGGTACTTTTAAAAGTAAGAGTCTAGCTGGGCGTTGGTGGCGCACGCCTTTAATCCCAGCACTTGGGAGGCAGAGGCAGGCAGATCTGTGAGTTCAAGGCCATCCTGGTCCCCAGAGCGAGTGCCAGTATAGGCTCCAAAGCTACGCAGAGAAACCCTGTCTTGAAAAACCAAAAAAAAAAAAAAAAAAAGTAAGAGTCTAGGCTGATTCCTTTTCCCATTGAGAGTTAACCTCAAAATCTACCCTAAGTATTTCATCTTTCAAAATCAATACTGTACAGTTAATTTTTGGTCAGATCTTCCATAAAACTCATTTTTCAAAAGGCTGTACATAACTGCATCCAATCCTGACCCACACAGAGCATATACAGATTTTGGTTACCTTTGCTAAGAGTCTTTAACAGCTCAATTGTAACATACTTTTTTCTGTGTTTTATTCTAAAAGCAATAGAAAAAGTTTCAGGTAAACATCTAAAATCTAAACTTGCAAACTCATTCTTTGAGAACAGTAAGTCAATATAATGAGGTTACACGTTGTGTCCAGCATTTCCAGAGAAAAGCTACAAAAACAATGGCTTGATGTCACTGCGTCTTCCAGAGTCTCCAGCCTTTGCACTGTGATGAACAAACAGCTTGTGTTTAATCCTTAGATCCACTCCAGTAGCAGTTCTAGCCTTCAGTGACCACTTCTCTCCACATCATCAAGAGACATCTACAGAATCCCCTTGGCTGGACCCTTTGTTACAGAGGATCTCACCTCAGCAGACATCCTTGTCTGATTCAGGAAGGAGCTGCCTCCTGTTCATAAGCATCGCTTTCCACTCACACATCCTTGGTCCAAACAACAGCTGTCATTCAGAATTTCTCCATTTCTTTTAAGATTTATTTACTTATTATGTATAGTGTTCTTCCTGCCGGCCAGAAGAGGACACCAGATCTCATTATAGAAGGTTGTGAGCCACCATGTGGTTGCTAGGAATTGAACTCCGGTCTTCTGGAAGAGCAGCCAGTGCTCTTAACCTCTGAGCCTTCTGAGATCTGGTGCCCTCTTCTGGTGTGCAGGCATATATGGAGGCAGAATGTTGTATTCACAATAAACAAAACAAAGGAAAAAAAAAAAATCAAAACCTGACTCCTCTGCAGAAGCAGCAAATGCTCTTAAACCTGTGAGCTTTCTGTCTAGCCCCTTACTTCAACCTCCTCTTGCCCATCTCATCTTGTGCCTTAGTTTGCTTCTCAAAGCCATTTTGGTTTTCCATGACATGCTTGGCTTATTCTCAGCCTAAATGTTTTTGGATTTCCAACAGAGGTTGGAAGGAGTTAGTGTCTGATGTACAAGCAGATGTTTAAAGGGATTTCATTATAACAGCTGTTCTTTAGATAGCTGCCATGTTATTTCTACCACATCTTGGTCTAGATTTTGAGTCTAAATCTTAGATCATTTTAATTGCCCATCACAGTTCTTCTTGAGTGCTGGATTAAATTCTGTTCCCTTTAGTGCTAATAGGCTATAACACCTACCAGGGGTCTGTAGGCTGTCTCAGATGCCGTGTCACTCCATTATTATGTAGTTATTTTCTACTTCTATTGATGGTATCTTGTATGTCTTACCTCTGATAAGGTCTATGTGGTTTAGGGTTTCAGAAAACTCATCATCCTTTTTCCCCAGCCTCTGGAAGATTTCAGGAAGCTAGAGTTGAGGTCAGCCTGGGCTAAAACTGGGCCAAAAAGCCAAAATAAGGAAAATGTGAATTTCATTACACCATTTGTGTTACTGCTTTAAATTCAATGGCATCTTACTTGAAATGCCCACCTACCCAAGCCCATTTCTTTGCTAGTGTCCCAACTATTCCAGGCACACATTTTCTCACTATGCTATTCTATCCATGGCATCTCCTCCACCTGTTTTCTTATTTATTGGGCTGGAATTAAGAAACATCAAAACAAAAATCCCCTGAAGTAGGCTTGAACCACCTTAGTCAGGTGGAGAAAGGTCTCCTTGAGTGAGGCCAAGGACTGGAAAATTCTGAGGCAGGTTGCGAAGAGTAACTAGAAAGAACAAGTGTTCTTAGTCAGGAAGATGAAGTAACTTCATTGGGACAAAGAGACCTGCAAACTTCTCACCTTCGGCTACACTGGAAGTACCAAGCCAGCCTGGGCAAAAAGCAAGATCGTCTCAAGAAAGGTGGTGTTAAGGGAAGGAGGATAAAGCAAATAGGCCAAAGACAGTAAGGGGTAGGGCACAAGGACATTACTAGTGGCTGAGCCTCTGACAGTGCAAATCTCTGTTGAACAACTACTTACTTTGGCTTTTGAAACAGGGTTTCCATATCCTAGGCTGGCCTTGCACTTGCTTTATAGTTGAGAATGACCTCCTACCTCTACTTTCCCAGGGCACAACCATGTCCTGCTGGCTAGTTGGTTGGTTGTCTTTCCTGGTGCTGGGGATCATCCTGGAGCCTTATCTGAGTTACCCTCCAGCTCCTAAACTGCTTTAAACTTCAGTTATACCAAGTGCTCTATGGTTGTGACTTGACTGTGTCCCATAACCAACGCCTATCACATTCTATAGGAACTTCAGAGACCATGAATTCGGGCCTTGTAGTAAAGTGCTGTTGGCCCTTGGTGAGTATCAGTGTGTTTACATCAAGCCTCCAAACATCTGAAGCACTCTAGGAGACTAACCTGACCACTATATCATTTATGGACCTGGAGGTAGAATGCAGGAGTAAGCCATGTGGAGGACTCCATCCTTTTACTAAGATACCCAGAAGCTTGAATGTGTAGCTACTTCTGTTAAGTGTCAAAATGAAAATTCAGTGTGGAAATGGATACTGTTTGAACCACAAGATCCAAATTGACTTCCTTTTGGACTGAAAAAAGAAAAAAAACAAAAACAAAACCCAAGACTAAAAGCACTCTGTTATAAGTCTATTTATTAATCTTAAATAATATTTAGAACTCATACAATAAAACATTTACCATTTTACCACCAGTGGGTTATTTTTGTTTTTACTTTTTTTGAACAGGCTTCAGCAATTCGAAGAGAACTCTAGGTTATCATTTCTACTCTTAAATTCTCTGAGAAATTTTGAACCCAGTCATCTGGCTGTCTTTGGGATTTTTCTGAGAATGGGTCTTCATATACAGGCTAAGCTGGCCTCCAACACACAGATTTTGATCACACCTGGCTGCTCAATAGGATTTCTGGAGTCCTCATCTCAGAAGGAATTTTTACTACTATTCTTAGCCACTGTTCCTAAAGCTACTTGTAAAAAGCACATTCCAAAAGAAGTCATGGAGTAATCATCACATGTACAACAAAAAAGTACAAATATTTAACAATGACTAAATAGCGAAAACTATTTAGTTGAAAACGAACTGGAATTTCTTCAGGAAACACAACAGATAAGTTGGAGGCATAGCAAACAGCAGCGATTATCTGTGAATAATGTACTTATTAAAGTCACAAATGCCTCAGAGCTATAAAATATAGTTCCTTAATGTACATTCTGTTAGATCACCAAATAAAAACAATTTGAAATTTTAAGGAAATTATGCCTATTCCTGCCAGGTGCTAAGTTACCTAAAATGCTATATAATCCATTTAATTTTACATGAAGATATAAAAAATAAATATTGCCATGCATTTCTTGCTGACATTTAAAAATCCCACAAATAACTTGAAATGTTGTCTAGAAAACTTCCTATATCATACTTTATTTCTGAGGGGCTTACAAACTGAGTTTTATAGCACCCTCAACTTAAAAACACAAAAAAACAAAAACAACTTCCAAGTAAGTCTAATTTAATGCCCTTAAATGAGAATGGAGAATGGTATGGAAAATCAACAATACAAGCCCAAAGTGGAGTGCAAGTACCCTTTTTGCTGCAGGTTTTAATTGGAAAGGTTTGTGAACAAATTCTTTTCCAAGGCATGCTGGAAAATGATGGAGAGTGAAGTGGCAGAAACTGGGTGTCCTTTTTCAGGCAACTTCTTATCATACTTCAGTTTCCCAAAACATCCCTGGTTAAGACTCTCATGATTAAAATGACAGTGTTTATAAAAGTTCATTAGGCTCCTCATTAAAGCTGAAGTCACACACCAGTGACAGGTGGTCTGAAGGATAATGAAAGGACGGGAGCCGGTTGGGCCCAATCTGTTCTTCAGTGAGCAGATCCAGAGCAGATGTGACACTCAGAGCATGTCTGGAGTACCAGATGTAATCCAGGGTGTGGCGACACTCCCCTGAGGTCCGGATCTTCCAGGTCGTGTACGGAGGCTCCGACTGTCCATCAGGACTCAGCAGCTTGTAGGCGCTATTGAGATTGAGGCTGGAGGAAGCAAAGTGTTTGTAGACCTCTTCAGTTGGCTCTGCGTTGAAGTCCCCACAGACAATCAAGGGAATCTTGGCTTCCTGTGTGATGTCCTGCAGGTTCTGAAGAAGGTCGCAGCCCTGAGCTGATCGAAACCGCTCCCAGCCAGAGCGGGCTTTTAAGTGGGTAACAGCAACGCAGAATTGTCGGCCGGATTCCTTGCACTCCAGGGTCTGTGCGATGGCAACCTGATTGGTTTTTAGGGTCATGGCTGTCAGCCTAATATTGGTGCTGCTGATGAGCTTGAAACGGTTTTGGAGAAAAAACAAAGCACAGCCATCTGGTCCATTGTTGTGTTCAACATCGAGACACGGGGACCAGGGCTTGGGAAAAAATGTGCCTTGGTAGCCCAGTCTACTGAGGAGTGGTTGGAAGGTGTCAAAATAGTGGTCCACTTCTTGGAGGCACAATATATCTGGTTGGTAGGCCAAGATTTCCTCCAGAATAAGGCATTTTCTTTCTTCCCACTTGAGTGCTTCAACAGGGCACTGCACAAAGTTGTCTTTGCCTTCTCCAAGAGCTGAAAAGAAAAGCCAAGCATCTGTCAATTACCACAGTATCATGACCTCAAAGAAAATGGGAAGCCTGATGTGGTGATGCAGTACTGGGAAGGCAGATCTCCATGAGTTTGAGGCCACTGTGGGCTATGTTACTGAGTGCCAGCCCAGCTTAGGCTGCATACTAAGCCCCTGTCTCATAAATGAACAAAGCTCACGGATGGGAGGTCCATGCTGTGTTAACCTACCCAGACAAAATAACCTCATACTATGTGCTGAAGCAAGCAGCAGGTTTTTTTTTTTTTTTTTCCCCAATATATACTAAAACTATTTCATATAACTATATTCTAGGATTGAGACCTTTGCCTTTTAAGTTTAGAGAAACCTTGTAGTCCTGGGGATAGAAAAGTGTGTCAATTTAAATAACATTAGTTTTAACACTGATGATAATAAAGCCATGTGAACGGATAAAAATAGATACTATTCAGAATGAATGAGACAAATATCTTTTTCTCCTTATGAACGAGCACCAGGGAAATAGACTCAAAGATGGGGGTGGGCACGTTTGTACAGGTGCCAGGGCAGGTAAGGGTGGAAGGGGGTGGGTATAAACAACATACATGGCATATATAGGAAATTGTCAAAGAACAAATAAAAATACTTCTAACAAGATTGGTAAGTCAGAGATACATAAACATGAAATGCCGTTTCTTTTTAAAAGTAGTTTTTTTTTTTTTTAAGATTTATTTATTTATTATGTATACAGTGTTCTGTCTGCATGTATGCCTGCAGGCCAGAAGAGAGCATCAGATCTCATTACAGATGGTTGCTGGGAACTGAGCTCAGGACCTCAACCTCTGGAAGAGCAGCCAGTGCTCTTAACCGCTGAGCCATCTCTCCAGCCCTTAAAAGTAGTTTAAAAAAATGAATAAATTTTTTATAATGTTTAACTATGTGTACGGATAACAGGAATATGTACATAAGTGCAGGTGCCTGCAGAGGCCAGAGGTGTTAGGTCTCCTGGAACCACCTGGTGTGGGTACTGGGAATCAAACTCAGGAACTCTGGACAAGCAGTACCTGCTCTTAACCACTGACCTATCCCTTCACTCCCAAAGACAGCTGCCTTTCCTTACAACTTCAACTACACATAAAGGTATTAACACGTGAGAATGATTGAGAAATGTAGTTCATAATTCAGCAGGTGTAGTAAAAGGGGCCTTTCCTGCCACCAATAATTTTAAGTAACTAAGTGCTAGGAGTTGGCCAAGCAGTGTCTGGTTTTACTGTTTTGAGACAAGGCCTTACTCCATAGCTCAAGTTGGCCTCAAACTCTGGCAGTCATAATGCTCCTGCAGCCTTGAGTGCAGGATTATAAGTCCCAGTGGGCCGCCAAGGCCAGCCAAGGCTAGTCTCAACCCTGCTCCACACATATCCACACCACCCACTCAGTTCGTTCCCTGCCAGTGCTGTCACAGAGCTGTGGCTCAAGCTGCTGGCAACAGAAGGTCTAAGGTTATCCCACTGCGGAAAGACACCACTATCCTTCCCATAGGAGTCCACGAGGGAGGTCTGTTATCCCACGGAGCTGCTGAAAGACACCTCTCTCTGTCCTCCCCATAGCACACAGGCGCACTGGGGTGCACAGGAACAGTAAGGAAGCCACAGCAGACTAAACGGCTCAGGCATACCTTGGGCAAGGATGTTCCACTGCATGACTCTAATGGGAGGGTGGCTACTGGGGCAATCTCTTCTTAGGTCCACAAAATCCCTCTGGTATCGGGGTGGCCGAGTATGTAGAACAGCTCTGCATTCCTCGAGAAGCTCCTTAGGATCGATGGGTTCCAGATGTTCTGGGTCAGCTGACACCAAATACTCCGGGTGCTGAGCGGCTGCACTGTTGTTGAGTGTCTTGGTGAGAGCACTGTAGAGCCTACTCGTGCCGTTTCCCATGGAACTCACTGTGGGCAAGAAGCAAGACACACAGCCAGCTGTCAGCATTCACTGTAAATAATGGAGTTTCTAGCCTCCCACTTCCATCAGGACAGGTAATTTAAGTTCTGTGTTAACCAATCTCTTCACAAAACTAGATAGTTCATCTAACCTCAACAACCTCTTGGAGTTGCCTTTGTATACCCACCCAGTCTTAAACAAGCATTGCTTAACAAAATACTCATTCTTCTTCCATTTTTTTTATTTTTCTCTTTTGAGAAAGGGTTTCTCTGTAGCTTTGGAGGCTGTCCTGGAACTTGCTCTGTAGCCCAGGCTGGCCTCAACTCAGGGATCCACCTGCCTCTACCTCTCAAGTGCTGGGATTAAAGTCGTGCACAAACACACCTGGCCCCAAGTATTTTTCTTTGAGAATGATTTTGAAGGGTGAGTGTTTGATGTTTGAACAGGTCCCCCAGGTTTCGGATGTGTCCATCAGGGCTATAGTCTCTTGGAGAAGCCTGTGATCAGCATTGAACATACTCTCTTCAAAAAACACAGGGCATACATAGTCTGGGGAGTGCTGGAGATGCCTGAGCCCTGCTAAGTTAGTTTCCTAAGAGCTTTCTTTTCCTGACAGGCTACATTTCTTAGACCCCTAACAGAACAGGCGCAGGAAGCAGCAGTGCCTGAAAGAAGGGAATGCTTACCAGTGCTTAGGTTTCCAATTTGTGGTGTGGTGTGGTATGGTATGTGTGGTGTAGTGTGGTGAGTGGTGTGGTATGGTGTAGTTTAGTGCAGTGTGCGTGTGACTGAATGTGAATTGTCCCCAGGAGGCTCATTGTTTGAACACTTGGTTCCCAGCTGGTGATGCTGTTTGGGAAGGTGGGCTTGGGGGTTCCCTAGCCTGGACCCACTTTCCATTCTGTTTCTTGTGTGTGGATATAATGATGAACCAGTTTCCAGCTCCTGACGTACATACTTTCTTTCCTTGCTCTCTGTGTCATGATAGCCTCTGTCCCTCTGGAACTATAGGCCAAAATAAACCCTTTCTTAAATTGCTTTCATCTGGGTATCCACATAAATGGGGGTGGAGTGCATTTGGAGGCTGGTGGCCATCAAATGACTTGAGTTTCATCTCTTTCTACCTTAGCTTTTGAGACAGGCTGGTCAGGGGGTGGCTAGGATTATGGACAGAGTCATGCTTGACTCTGGGTACCAGGGTTCCTCATGTTTATGGGGTAGGCGGTTTATTATCTCAGCCACCTCTCCAGTCCCCTAACTTCATTTTTGACAGATTGTGACTCATATAAAAATAGATCTTTAAACAATTACCATTAGAAGTGGTTCATTTTCTTGAGGCAGCTAAAGACCCTGGGTTTCTTTACTATATTCCACATCTTGTCCTCTCAATTTTGATTTTAGTTGAGCATGAACCAGTATGTGCAAGTACCCGAGGAGGCCAGAAGGGGGCACTGGACTCCCTTGGAACTTAAGTTACAGTGTGACTTGTGAGCTGCCTGATGCAGGAGCTGTGAACTGAACTTGGGTCCTCTGTAACGTTATGTGCTCTTATCTGCTAAGCCAGTGCTTCTCTTGGATCTTGACAGGGTCCCCTATCAGATCTTTACATTACCATTCATAACAGTAGTGAAATCACAGTTGCAACAATGAAAATAATGTTATGTTTGGGGGTCACCACAACATGAGGAACTGTATTAAAGGCTGCAGTTACACTTCTTAGGAAGGGTAAGAACCACAGTCAGAACTTGCTGTCTCTTTAGTGGTAAAGTTTTCTTTTATAAAATTCTGGCAGACTGATTAACAAGCAGCTGGTTCAAATTAGTTACAATGGCAGGTCACCACAAATGTCCCTGTGTATCAAGATCAATTAGTATTCAAGCACCACCCCCACAGGGTTACCCTGCATAGTCCAGGAACTCACTTTGGAGACCAGGCTGGCCTCTAACTCATGGAGATCCTCTCTGTCTCCTGACTAAAACCTACCCAGTGTTTCAGTGCCTATTGTATACCAGACAACTCTAGCCTCCTGCAGACACACCAGCGAACAGACCCAAATTCTAGCTTTCAAGCAGTATGTTTTGTATTGGGAAGACAAAGAACCATAGTTTGTATTCGGTGAAAAGTGCTATGGAGAAAAGCAGGGCAAGTTGAGATATGGGTTGTGGGTGACAGGGAAATTGCTTATCTGTCTGTGATGGTCAGGATGACTCTTCAATGGATGTAAGTGGTAAGAAAAAAAGCCCAACTGGGATCTACTGAAGGAGTCTGGATAGAGGGAGAGCATGTATGAAAGCTGAGCAGTTTATGCAGAAGGGTTATTAGTGTGGTAGCCAGAGTGAGCGGAGGTGAGCTTAGTAGAGTAGTGGAGGCCCTTTTTCTGAGTCAAGAAGTTCCTGGAGAATTCTGAGTTGATTATTGGACTTATTCTTCCAAAATACCTCGCTGGCGGACCCTTTGGTTCTTTGTTTGTTTTTAGTTTTTTTTTTTTTTTTTTTGAGACAGGGTTTCTTTGTGTAGTCTTGGTTGTCCTGGAACTAGCTCTGTAGACCAGGCTGGTCTTTAACTCAGAGATCTGCTTGCCTCTGTCTCCTCAGTGCTGGGATTAAAACTGTGTGTCACCATATCCTAGAGTGGTAATTCTTTTAATCCCAGCACTCAGAAGGAGCAGAGACAGACAGACTTCTGGGTTTACTAGTTTGGTGTATGCAGTTATTTCCAGACTAGCCAGGGTTACACAGTGAGGCTCTGTCTCAAAAACAAACAGCAGCAACAACAGAAAGCCCCACTACATTGTAGGGCAATATGGGCAGATAGAAGAGAAACAGAGGGAAAAGAAAGCTCTGCGGTGCAGGCATGCAATTCCAGTTACTTGGGAGGTTGAGGCAGGATTCAGAGTTCTAGGTTTGCCTTGCTACAAAGTGAGTTAGTTTCAGATCAGTTAGTTTGGTTAACTTGGTGTGAGCCTGTCTCATGATAACTAAAAAGGTTCAGCTGCAGAGGTGGCCCGGCACGGGATAGTAGGGAAAAGAAAGTTCGGATTGTTTGGACTAGGTAGCTCAGAGGTAGAGTGTCTGTCATGTGCAAGGAAGGCCCTGTCCTCCATCACCAGCACTGGGAGGTGGGGGAAAGTTCCTGAATGCACTGGGCTGGGGTGGGGAGCAGCTTGTGAAAGCTAAAACTCTACAAAGGCAGATGCAGGGGAGGAGAAAACCAAGGAGGAAATGATCCATAAGACGGTAAATGTAGGGCCATCGCCCAGTGCTACTGACAACTGAAGCAAGATGAAAGGAGAGCAGATCTGGACTAAGCAGCCCGTCAAACTTCAGTGACAACAGAAATTTCTTATTTTTGGTGGCAGTGTGAGGGGAGGAGGGAAAGACAAGAGAAGTTATTTTGAGAAAAAATTGCCTAAAAAGGAGAGAAACGTACCAGTAGCACAGGCATTTTGTTTTTGAGATAGAATGTTTGAGAATGGGGTGACAGAGTAAATACTAAAGAAGTGTATTATTTCTGGCTTCCGGTACAACAGCTCGAGGAAGCTTATAAACTCCACTCTTCTGTCCTCTAAGACACTAAAATTTTTGATGATGTATGAAAAAGTTATTCTGATGCTCAACAAGGACAAAGACCATATAATAAACTATGCATTTATTCATGAAAGCTACTTAGGTTCAGGCGAGGAAAGTGGTAGATATTCCTGCAAAGGGCAGTAAAGCTAATTAAATAAGTCCCAAAGATCTCCTGAGCAAATTGGAAGCACAGAGGGGGTGGGTGGGGTGGGGGATGGGGGAGTGGGGTTAAGAGAAAGAGAAGAGGGAGAAGAAAAGGGGAAGACATGAAGGAGCAGAAAGATTGAGTCCATAGAGGAGAGCAAGAAAAGAGATACTTTAATAGAAGGAGCTATTATAGGTTTAAAGAGAATTCTGGCACTAGGGAAATGTCCAGAGATCTACAAGGTTGACCCCAACTAACAATCTAAGCAATAGTGGAGAGGCACTTTAAATGCCCTTCCCCAATAATGAGATTGATGTCTACCTTATATTCCATCCTAGAGCCTTCATCCAGTAGCTGATGGAAGCAGAGGCAGACTAAACACTGAGCTGAACTCTGGAATGTGATGTGCAAAGGGGTCAAGACCACGCTGGGGAAACCCACAGCTAAACACTGAGCTGAACTCTGGAATGTGATGTGCAAAGGGGTCAAGACCACGCTGGGGAAACCCACAGAAATAGCTGACCTGAACAAGGTCATGGACCCCAGAGCTGGGAAATCAGCATATGAGGGAACCAGGCCCCCTGCACATGGGTGTCAGTGAGGAGGCCTGGGCAGTCTATGGCCCCTGGTAATGAAACAGCATTTATACCTAGTGCACGAATGGACACTGGGAGTCCATTCCCCATGGAGGGATACTCTCTCAGCCTAGACACACTGGGAAGGGCCTAGGCCCTGCCCCAAATGATGTGACAGACTTTGATGATCCCCCATAGAAGGCCTCACCCTTTCTATGGAGCAGAAGAGGGATGGCCTGGGGGCTGGTGGGGGGCATGGGAGGATGGGAAGGAGAGGGAACTGGGATTGATATATAAAATAAGATTGTTTCTAATTTAAATAAAATAAAAATAGAAAAAAATTAATTAAGTCCCAACACATAACTAACTCAGCCTGATGCCTTCATTATAAATTGTATTATTTCTATGTGTAGCTGACTATTCTGAAAAACAGCTTGGTGGGATATATATGTTTACTATAGAGCCAGGAGTTCACACCTCTAGGTATTTACTTAATTAAAACTAGCATTCATTTGAAAATTCTGCTAGCGACCATGACATCCTTCCGTGTGTGTGAACAGTTGAACAACTGTAGAATGCCCATTAAGTAAAACATTAGGTAGAAAGAACATGAGCGGACTCCTAGAGCAATGAATCTTACATGCATTCTATCCTCTAAGGGAAAGCAGCCAGGTCCTTCCTACAAGTTAGACTGTAGATTCCCTAGGGAACCACAGCAA